AGCCTTGTGGGGGTGCTGGGGGGGTGAGAAGTGGGGTGCTGGGGGGGTGTTGAGGGATCTGGCAGCCCAGATGCCTGGGTTCACGCCAGCTCTGGGCAGGGGGAAGTGGGGAGCCCGGCTGCCTCTAACAAGCAGAGAGGCCTAAGGAAGCAAGGGTCCTTGGCCTGGTGCATTGTGGGTATTGAACATACCCAAAAGGGCCTGAATTTGGGGACTTTTTTGCTTTGTTTTCTTAAAGTTCAGAGCAACACCCCAAAATCCAGGCCCATCCCTACCACCCCATACTGCAAGGGGGGGGGGGGTGCTGTTGTGTAGCTGTATTCAAGCCTGTTCGCACAACACACACACACACACACACACACGCACGCACGCTGGCCCAGCAGGAGGCAGCGTCCTCCTTCTGCCCCTAGCTTACAGAACCCAGACATCCGGCCGCACCCACACACCCAGCAGGGTTGTGCAATGGAGGACTGTTGCAATCCCTCGGCCTTGGGTAACAGCCATTGGATTGCACAAGGGGAAGAGCCTGGAACCCAGGTGTCTGAGTTCCCAGCCCCCTGCTCTAACCACTACCCCCACTGTCCTCCCAGGGAACCCGGGCATCTGGGCTCCCAGCCCCCTGCTCTAACCACTACCCTCAGTGCCCTGGGGTTGTGCAACCGCTACAGCAGCAGAAGCAGAAACCACAGCCCCCCCCAGGGTTGGTGCGGCTGCCTACACCCCTTCTCCTGACACACACACACACACACACACACACACACACAGAGGCATCCAGGACAGCAGGCACAAAACCCAGGTGTCAGGGACACACCCATACACAACCCAGGCATCCGAGACACACATATACAAAACGCACCCAGGACACATGGACACACACAGAACCCAGGTGTCCGACACACATGCATAGCATTCAGGACACACATACATACAAACACCCCTCCCACCCACACACACATGACAACCAAGGTGCACACACACTCATATGCACACCCACACACACACCCACTTGGCCCAAGGCATTCCAGGCATCCAAGACAGATGCGCACACAAAACCCAGATGTCAGGGACACACCGCACCCCCCCCCGCATCCTGGATGCAGAGACAAACAACCCAGGTGTCACACACACACACACACACACACCCCCCCTCCCACAGTGGTGGGGGTGGGTAGGGCCCTGGGGGCAGCTAAAGCAGGCCTGGGGGCGCTCCCAGTTGCCCCCTGGCCCAGGCGGGGGGTGTGGCCTCCCCTGGCCTCACCCCTGCCCCGCAGGGGGTGGGGCCCAGTTCCCGGTATTGGGCCTTCGAGGATTTGCATTTCTTGAGGCTTTTCACCCCAAAACCACTTCCTGCCCTGCCCCCGCCTGGGTGCTGGGTGGGGGGAGGGGAAAGACCCAGGCGTCGGGGCCTAGTGAAAAACAACCAAGAGGAAACCAGCACCGGCCGTTGGCGTGACTTCCCTTCCCCTGGCCCCCACCACGCAGGCAGCCCAGGCGTCTGGGCCGTGTGCTCACCCCCCCGTACACACGCACGCGCACACACACACACACAGATTGAGAGAACCCAGGTGTCTGGGACATGCATGCAGAATCCGTGTGTGTGTGTGGGGGGGGGTACATGCACACACAGAGCTAACTAATACAGGGGCCTGGGACACACGCACACCCTGAACCCAGGCGTCTGGGTCACACATATACACACTCCGCACCCACCCACACGCACACCCTGAACCCAGGCGTCCGGGTCACATATACACACACACCCACACCAAACCCAGGTGTCCGGGTTGGTCACACAGACACACACACAGCACGGGCGTCCGGGCCCCACCCACACACCCAGGACCCAGGCATCCGGGCCCCACCCACCCCCCGTTCCCACAGAGAACCCAGGCGTCCGGGGCCCGCGCGCCCAGAACCCAGGCGTCCGGGACCCACCCGCCC